GCACGCCTGCGCGTGACCTATCGTACCTGCGTGACCTGCAGCCTGGCGGTGTTGAGGTCGTTGACGGCGGCGCGTAGTGCCTGCACGCCGTCCTGCTGCTTCTCTATCTGCTCTCGCTTCCCGTCGAGCTGCACGCCGAGCGTGCGCAGCTTCACCTGCACATCCTCCTTCTCCTGAATCACCTCCTGCATGCCCGGTCACCACCTACATAGCGCGAGAGCAAGAGGAAGGGTCAGCGAGGGGAAGAGGAGGTCAGCGAGGGGAGAGGAGGTCAGCGAGGGGGAGAGGAGGTCAGCGAGGGGAAGAGGTCAGTGAGGGGAGAGAGAGGTCAGCGAGGGGGAGAGGTCAGCGTAGGGGAGAGGAGGTCAGCGAGGGGAGAGGAGTGTCAGCGAGGAGAGGAGGTCAGCGAGGGGGAGAGGAGGTCAGCGAGGGGGAGAGGTCGCGAAGGAGGTCAGCGAGGGGAGAGGAGGAGTCAGCAAAGGGGAGAGGAGGTCAGCAGAGGGGGAGAGGTCAGCGAGGGAGAGGAGGTCAGCGAGGGGGAGCAGGAGGTCAGCGAGGGGGAGGGGACGGGGTGAGAGAGATGGGGGCTGCATTACGTTGTGGTGACGTCCCACGAATATGGTCGAATGCAATGTGGTCAACAACCAACGAATAGGGTCGAGTGAATGTGGTCGACAACTCACGAATAGCGTCGAGCGAGTCTTCACTCGCCGCGCGCTCAAACACGTAACGAGGACCGACGAAATTTCACGACTTCTGTGCTTAAAGATTAAGGTAAGTGATTACGGTTATGTGGTTAAGGTACACGACGCAGGCTGTACACGACCGCACATACTGCGATACGTTCGAAGGACGATAATACAAAATTAATCGATGCCGTCGCGCCGACGTACGACGGCTTCACGCCGTACCGCGCCAACGATCCGTGCGCTCATCGTCGCGATCTTGCTCTCGAGTCGTCTGACGTCGTCGTGGCAACGGTCCATGAGGATGACGTCTGCTTGCACGCTCTCCGGCGAGCGACTTGTCCATCTGGATCTGGTTGAGGCCCTCCTCCTCCTGATCGATCTGCTCGCGAAGTCGCTTCTGATCGTCGACATCTCTCTCATCGTCTGCCGCAGCGCGGGAACCTCCTTCTGAGACAGCGTCGCCATCTGCGGGCGAAAATCGCAAGCGATTGTGACAAATTACGCGAGGGCATGGGAGTCGATGAGGCCGCGCTCGTCAAGGCCAACAGCCAAGGAGCAAATGTTGGTTATGGAAGCGAGTGTCTTGATCGAAAAGCTTAACTATACTAAGGTTATGAATCGATAAAAATAAATAGTCATCTCATGATGCGCGACCAGCAATCTTAATCGAACTATCCGCCAAGTGATTGACGACAGTTAGCTCTAGCAAATCAGCATCGCTGTAGGGCTGGCACTATTCTAACAACGCTTCTCAGTAATGAAGTGTTGCAAAGTCGATAATTTGGCATGCAACCATGAATAACGCACAACTCGGTCCATCTCCAGACCTGCCAACCTGTGATTCATGAAAATAATAAGGCTTTTATTTTCTTGCAGCAGGCGGCCATTTTGTTTGTATGTTATGCGCGCAATGAGTGATAGGACTAACTCTAGATCACACGAGAACAACGTGAACGCGTAAAAAACACATCGTAGGTTTTTCAGTTTGATCGTACATTCGTAAAAACATCTTGGAATTAGTAAGGAATACGAAAAAATCGTAAAGGTTGGCAGGTCTGCATCTCGTATCACCTAGCAACAGTGTATTCAGAGCATGTGGTAATCTCACAGAGACGGATATGCAAATCAAAAATGCCAGCGAGTGACGATCACCCGTATCAGTGATTCATGCGTCGCACAAGACGCACCCCGCTCCTTGGCTCCTGATATTTTTCTCTCGCAAGCATTTATAATTTGCGGCTCCGTTTCCTTAACCCGAGGCCCCGCAGCTGCTTTCACATTAAATACTACAGCGGGGGGTTATATAGTCCACTGGTAGCACTGCACGTTAACTCTCCACACTCTATCTCTATTTGCTGAGTCGTGGTCATGAAGGAAGCAACTGCAAATTGAATTAGATTAACAACATCATTCGATTATTTCCGACTTGTTTATGATGGACACCCGCATCACGGCGCGGCGATCGCGCGAGCGGATGCTCACCTGTTCTTTCTGCGGTTTCAGCTGCAGTAGCGTGCCGTACTTCACCTGTTGCTCTGCTATCGCCTTCTCCTTCATGTCCAGTTGGTTCGGTACCAGCCTCAGCTTGTTGTTCAACTGGCGACGTCAGTAGCGGCGCAGCGAAGGAGCGAGAAGAAAGAAGAGATATTTATTATATATTTATACGCGTTACGTCAGGGAGGGAAACGTGGGATTCAACACAAAAAACTTAAAAACAAGGGGCGTGGTAGCGTCAGCACGTTGTTGGAGCAGGCATCGTGGCGGCGCGGGCGTGCGTGTGTGTGTGTGCACGTACATGTGCGTGCGTGCGTGAGTGTGCACGTACATGCGCGTGTGCACGTACACATGCGTGTGCGTGCGTGCGTGCATGTGCATGCATGCATGCGTGCGTGAGTGCGCGTGCATACGTGCGTGCGTGCGCGTGTGAGTGTGCACGTACATGTGCGTGCGTGAGTGTCCACGTACATGCGTGTGCACGTACACGTGCGTGTGCGTGCATACGTGCGTGCGTGAGTGTCCACGTACATGCGTGTGCACGTACACGTGCGTGCGTGTGCGTGCGTGCGTGCGTGAGTGTGCACGTACACGTGTGTGTGCGTGTGCGTACGTGTACGTGCGTGTGTGTGCGCGTGCGTGCGTGCGTGCGCGTGCGGACGGCTCAGCAACTCACATCCTGCACCAGCTCATCCACGTCCCGCGGCTCGGGGAAAGCACGTCGACACAGCGGGCACGCCGCCTTCCGGCGCAGATCTTTCACAAACTTGCTGTAGAGGTGACGTGCTCCTGTCAGCGCTCCCTTCTCACTGAGTGAGAGCGAGAGAGTGAGAGATGCACGTGTTAACATTGCAGTGGTCAGGAGCGCGAACATAATGCATTAAAATCGGTTAAATAAATTAATCAACTCCGGTTAGACTGAATAATTTTATATTTTATAAATAATAGTAATGTAATAATTAAATAATTCATTAAAAATAATTTCTAATGCATGTTAACTTGACGTTAAGCTCCTGTTTCATGAATTGGTTTGAGATCGAACGTAACATTAAAATTGAACCTATATGACTTAACGATGCCTGCTCTTCAATACCCATACTTTCTAGAGAATAAGTTACACATTAGTGCAGTATCAAGAATGATACCAATAGAAAGCTGATGGCTATACATGATCGTACAAGGTGAGGTAGTGTATGTATGTCTATTTATGTATATATATATATATATATATATATATATATATATATATATATATATATATATGTGTGTATGTCTTTATACTGTCTTGTATAAAGGCAGGGTAGGATTTGAATAGCGTCTGTGTGACGCCAGGGGGGAGCCCTTACTCCTGTAGTGCTCCCACACTTGTGTTCAGCGCTTCCATGCTGGCATCGAAATCCTGGCTTCCGCAAGCTTCGTAGATCTTCTCCTCCAGATTCCGCAAGTCCTTGTCCTTCTTATCAACTTGCTCCCTTGGAAGCGAGAAAGAGGACAGGTGCATGACTGACCATAACTCAAATGGAAGTGGACACTATTTTACGTTTTCGTGTAAATAGAAGCGTTTGAACGGCGACGATAATCTCTTACTTCAGCACGTTGCGATTGGCCGTGCACGCCGCCATTTTGTTCCGAGTTTCGTTCAGGCCGCGAGTAGCACGCTGCATTCCTGCCGCCTGGTGGCCGATATAATCCTGCAGAGCGCTGTTCACATTTTCTGTAGGAAAATGGCCGAGCAAATGGACGATCGTGTCCTCGTGCCGATCTCGTCTGCAATTAATCAATAAAGAAAAATCACTGATAAGCGATCAATCGGTAATACTTAATGCAGGTAAGTGAGGCATTACCTACAAATTTTTCAAAAGGCTAAACTAAATAAACGCGTTTTACACACGAGGTGTTAGATATATAACATGCAGGTGCAAACACCGACAACAAATATTAGTATAACTCCGGGGAAGCCCCTCTATGAGAAAACACAGTGGCCTCACATTTTCCTGATAGTGTCTTCTTTGTCTGTCTTCTCCTTTCTTAGCATGTCCAGTTCTGTCCTAGTCTTGCTCTGTGTATGCAGCTGTCCCATCTCTGTGCTGCAAGGAAGCAAAAGACACTGACAAACTCATTCTCATGATACCACAAACATTTCAAGCAAGATCACTCGTGGCACACCAACCCTACTACATGTACTAGGTCCCATGGCATCCTAGACAGAAGACTTCTCACTCAGGCAGAATCCCACACGACTCCCGTGCAGTACTATATGTAATTTCATCGAAAGCTTCGTAAAAACATAACGAAAATTCATGGCCAAGACAATGCTTCGGTAAGAAACTCAGGAAATAGAAAGGAAGAAGAGTGTCAAGAGACTGATGACAATGCTTCAAGGTAGGTACTGTATACGCTGTATATTTCGCGGTGGTTCAATTTTCGCGAATTTCGCCAACGCGTCCCCGACCGCGAAAATAACAACACGCGAATTCATACCGAATAATTCATAATTCACCGACCGCGAAATTAACCACTCGCGAAATTGTCCGTCAAGTCTGAATTCGCGAAAATATCTCTATGCGAAAAATTTGGCGTATTGTATACAGTAGCTTGCACCACCGGACTAGCTTACTCTAGGTTGCTGGCTCGTTTCTCTAGCTCTGCCTTGTCACTCTGTAGCTTCTGAACATCTGCTTTCAGCTCCTCAATGTTACTTGCTTCATCCGCTGCCCTCAGCTCACTCTCCTGCAACGACAAGTTACAGGGTGCGTGAAAATATTTGAAAAGATGTAGCAAAAGATTTTTCCTAGTGCTTTTAGGCTCCATTTTCCATGACCGCGAAATTTCAGCCAAACTCTGTATCTCTGCGACTTATATTGTTCAATTGCTCAATTGTTCAGTTCGATAAATCTTCAATTCAATCAGTGAGAAGAAATCTTGCAAGAAAGGCAAACTGTATTGCCTCTAGGGTAGGACAGACACGAACAAGGAATTCAACATACTTGGAGTGGGGGTGCAGTGGAGTGGGGAGGATGGGGTTGCCTCACTCTAGCCCCGATCTTCTGAGGCCATAATAAAAATATTGTTTGTTTGCCCTCACCCGACCGACCCGCCAAAAAGGGACACCGACTCAAAATTTTTTATTGATCTATCCATTCTTTTTTTTTACAAATTGTATCACTGTACATTATATAAATCTGTAGGCAATACATTATATGTGCCAAGCAAAACAAACATTCAACATAAAAGGTATCTCCACACAAGCACACCCGAGCATGTAGACACCATGCTGAATTTGTAAAAAGACCCCCCTCAACAAAAAAGCCTACCTAAATACCCAAACTTTTTAGCCTGGGTCGGGTGAGGGCAAACAATGATTTTTTTAATTGTGGCCCGACTTACCGCCTGTCTCAGCTGCTTATCCAAGTGTTCCAGTTTGCCTTTAGAGGCGTCCACTCTGCTCAGCTCCTCACCCAGGGAATGTAACTCTTTCACATTACGTTTCTGCAGTGAGACAACCACACAATCCCAGTCAGGGGTCAGCCACCATCGCCACCAGTCAGGGGTCAGCCACCATTGCCACCAGTAAGTGATTAGTAACATACTGTAAAGCTCCTCGATAGAAAAGATTAGCCATACGTGCTTGACGACAGGGCAGTTTCATACAGTCAATCACTTGCTAAACACAACGTTCTTAAATTTAACACCTAACCTAAACCGGTAAACATGTCATCGTGCGTAGACGCGCAGCACATATTAATCCCGATGCCAGCAAATAAGAATAAAGGAAAGAGAGGGAAATAAAGGAGAGCTGGTAAAGAATAAATTGGGCGCGTTAACGAAAATGTGTTGTGGATTGTTGACGGCTACTGGCGCGAAGTCAGATACAATCGCTTCCGGAATTGGATCGGCATTTTCCCGCAGCGACTATGGCGTGGCCAGATGGCAGCACCATAGGTGCAAGTATAAGATTCTCGGCCGATATTCATCACCCTTCACGCCAGCTCAGTGAACTAGTGAACTAGTCTTTCGTGATAGACCAATAAAATACAGGTAATACAGGCACCACATGTCCAGTAATACAGGCACCACAGGTCCAGTATAGAGGGCGCCACGCTTGCTGTACGAACCGCAGTATCGCCCTTCATCTGCTCCTCCTGCTGCAGTCGCGTCTTCTTGTCTCTGAAGCTGTCAATCTGTCGCTGAAGCTCCGCCTCCTTCTCCTCAAACTCCGCCTACAAAACAATCGAAGACTAGTGCCACCTACGCGACATACATAAACGTGAAATGTATGCCCACCACGCGCAGGCACACATCCCTGCCGACACCAACAGCCAACTGGCTTACGTTAAGGAATGAACGATATCCAATCTACCAGGGCCATCCTTAAAAAATGTTTGCTGTCCCCCAACCCATGATTTTTTTAGTGGGTATAGGCAGGTAGGTCTTTTTTGTGAGACATAATAGTTATTTTAAGTCTGTCCTCATGTTTGCCACACATGCTTTGTGTTTCAGTCTTAACTATAAAAAATATGTATAACAAAAAAAAATGGAGCCCAAAATGTAAACAAAACTTTTGGGTTGCAGCTATTTTTGTGGGTTGGTCGGAGGACAGCAAAACATATAATTTTTTAATGATGGCCCGGCACCTAAACCACACTGGCAATAAAAAATCGAAGCTAGACATGTGGCTGTAAGTGTAAGTGCACGCATTACATCTCGTGATTTCACCAGCTATTCATGCAGGTATTCTATCTTACACCATCTCCTCACTTGACAGTCACACAGAAAATCGGCACAACCTATAATTTCCCACCCAGAGTTGACTGCATACCTCTAGCAGCTGCTCTCACTATAAACGAATGACCTATCTGCATGGAGTGACTGACAAGTAGGTCTAGCCAATCAGCACTGCGATAGTGGCATTCTAAAAACAGTGCTCATTGACAAGTGTCATGAAGTCGAGAATTCGGTGTGCACGAGGAAAACGACATGTTCAAATTGGGTGAGTTTGACCGATCTAGCAACAACATTCAAGGAGGAGAGGGAACCATTACCTTGCTCAGACTAATGGGCGAGTACATGAGCACACCTGCCAACCTGTGTTTCTTGAAAATAGTAAGGCTTTTCTTTTATTGCAGCAGGCGGCCATTTTGTTTGTATGTTATGCGCGCAATGAATGATGGGACTAACTCTAGATCACGCGAGAACAACGTGAACGCGTGATCCAATATGGTTGCGCCCATAATCGCCAGATATTTCTCGGCTCACAATGTAAAAAACATTAATTTTCACAAGTCGTAAAAAAATCGTAAGTTTTTCAGTTTGATCGTACATTCGTAGAAACATCATGGAATTCGTAAGGAATACGAAAAAATCGTAAGGGTTGGCAGGTCTGCATGAGATGTATTCTGTGGATGTGCCAACAGCAGTGTGCGGGATGTCGTACTCCTTTCCTTCTCCTACCTTCATCGTCTTGCTGTTTGCCTGTGCTGCCACCGCAAGCTCGTGCAACTGCTGCGTGAATCGCTGGATCGCAGAGTCATAGAGGCCCTTCACAGCATACCCTAGACAGCACAAGCGCCCTCTATTACACTCATCGCCAGTTTCATTTGCTATCGGCCGGGTGCCGGAGATGGAGTGCTGACTGCTGAATAACAGGCAGATGGCCCTCGGTTGCTCATCTTTGCTGAGGTATGTGCGTACTGTGTAATTACTCTTTGGTTAGTTGTCTGTGTAAACTTGCTTAGTAGGTGGGGGGAACGTACCGGAGAGTTCGTACTCAGAGGCAATATCGTGTATCTGGTTCTCCCTGTTGTTCAGCTGTTGCTTGTGTTGCTGGAATCAGAGAGCGCGGCAATGTCACCTAAATCGACTTTACTTGCTTTGGCATCATAGCATTTAAAACTTTACACATAGGTACAGCACTTATTCCTACACTATAGGTAGGCTGGATTACATACAGATTAACTAGCATGTGGTTATTCAGCAGAGAGCAACCACACAGAGTGGCATTAGAGCAGTGCTCCTCTGTGCATAGGCTAGCTATTTTGCGAGGACCCATTTTTGCTACTACTTTACGTTAAGAAGACATATTTACCTCAGCTTCTGTCTCCAGTTTTCCCTGCTGCAGCAGAAGTTGGCTTTTCTGTTCTCCCAGCTTGCTACGTTCCCGCGACAGTTTATTCAACTGTTCCTCTTGCTGCAGGAAAAATTTCAATCATTTTTACGACAATGTTAAGGTTCGTTCACAATGCTCATACAGAAACTATGGCCCCCAGTTCGACCCAATGTCTCCAGTTGCAAATAAAACTCGGAATTTGATTTCCTGTGTTAATTCAACCATTATGTTCCACCTAGTGACAATCGCTAGCGACAATAGCTGTTCCCCTGTTTCATTACTAACCGTCGCACCGGCTGCTGCCACCTAGTGGCAATACTTGTCCCGCAAGCACTGACCTTCAACAGAGACGACCTGTGTCGGCCGAGCCTCGTCTCAAACTGCTCGATGTCTCGCTGCAGCTCTACGGTGCTGCCCTCGTACGGCGCGTTTATGTTGTCGCGTAGCGTCGAACAGCGGGCACGCAGCTGCACGCAGTCGTCCGCTAGCCGGTCGTCCTGCGTCTGCAGCTGCTGGTAATCATGGGCCTGCTGCTCTCGCTCATCAATGTCCGTCTGCTCGACGACGCAGATGACAGACGAACAATAACACGTCGTTATAGCAACTCAACGTATTTAATGAATAACAATAATAATGATGATTATGATAATGACAATAATGATAATAATAACACGCAGTTATAGCAACTCAACGTATTAATGAATAACAATAATAATGATGATAATGATAATAATAACACACAGTTATAGCTACTCAACGTATTTATTTAATAACAATAATAATGATGATGATGATGATAATGATTATGACAATAATGGTAATAATAACACGCAGTTATAACGTATGAATAACAATAATAATGATGATGATGATAATGACAATAATGATAATAATATCACAGTTATAGCTACTCAATGTATTTAATGAATAACAATAATAATGATGATGATGATAATGACAATAATGATAATAATATCACAATTATAGCTACTCAACATATTAAATAAATAACAATAATATCAGGAGTGTATAATATAGATCTATATAATATCTATATTATACACTCCTGATAATATTAATGAAAAAACTGATGATGATTATGACGATAATAATAATAATAAC